TGCCGCGCGCCCGCCCGCCACCTTCGGGCGCCACCTCGGCTCCACGCCCAACCTGCAGCTCGACATCATGGACAATCGCCGAGATCAAGGCGGCGCGCAAGGTGCGGCCTCAAGATGGTGGCGCACGCGCCAGCGCGAGCGCGTGTGCGAGGTGCAAGCGCGTGGACGGCGGCGCGGGGCGCCTCGTCGGCGCAAGCCGGCACGCCCGGGCGCCGCGGCCAGCCCACGCGGTGAGTTGCTGCGCGCCCCCGCGCTCCGCTCCGCGCCGCCGTCACGCTTTGAATCCAGCGTTTCGCACTCACCGCTCCGCTCCACGCTCCAGCCCCAGTCCGCTCCATGCTTCCGCCTAACACTACGACCAGCGTCGCTCGCCTTGTACTTTGCCCACGTTTCGCCCAACGCCTCCGCTCCACGCTCTGGCTCTCAGCAGTTCCGCCTACGCGCAGGACCAACGCTCTCGCTCCGTAAACGCCCATGGCTTTGCTCGTTTGCCTCCCCGCTCCGTTCCCGCTTTGCCCCACGCTCCAACCCACACTTCCGCTTTCCATGCTTCTCCCCCACGTCCCCCCTCCGCCCCAATCTCTCTCTTAATGCTGCGACCCACGGCTCCGCTTTGCGTTGTGTTCACATCTGCTCGATGTTGGCGTTCATGTTTTCGCCTAACGCTCTGCCCATGTTCCGCCATTGCCCTGCCGCATGCTCCGCAATGCGCTCCGCCCGTTCATGTGCTGCTCCCTAGGCGCGCCCCGTTCATTCACCATCCGCCCGCCGCTTTGCTCCCGCTCGTCCTCCTGATAATACCCAACCGCTCCACTCCACTCACAATCGCACACTCCGGCTCTGACCTCACGCTCTGCCCAGATACTCGCCGAAACTCCGGATTCACATTGCTCCCAACGCTCGCCCCTACGTTCCGACCTCGCTTTCGGGCTCCGTAACTCCTCTGCACTACTGTCCGCGTTCTGCTCCACGCCTTACGTTCCGGCCTGGTATATGCAGCAGGCTCCGACCCGCCCTCGCCCGCCCCGCGCCGCCGTCCTCCGCCCTCTCCGCCCTCCTCCGCCCTCTCCGCCCTCCTCCGCTCCTCCGCCCCTCACTCGCGCCTCCTCCGGCCTTCCTCCCGCCCTCTCCGCCTCCTCCTTCCCTCCTCCGCCCTCCTGCGCCCGTTCCTCCGCCCTCCTCCGCCTCCTCCGCCTGCCATCCGCCATCCTCCCCCTCCTCCGGCCTCCTCCGCCCTCCTCCGCGCCTCTTCCGCCTCCTCCGCCCCCTCCGCCTCCTCGCCCTCCCAGCCTCCTCCGCCCTCCTCCCGCCCTCCTCCGCCTCCTCCGCCCTCTCCTCGCCCTCCTCCGCCCCTCCTCGCCCTCCTCGCCAATCCTCCGCCTCCTCCGCCCTCCTGCCGCCTCTCCGCCTCCTCCGCCTCCTCCGCCTCCTGCCGCCCTCCTCCGCCCCTCACTTCCGCCTCCTTTTCCGCCTCCTGTCCGCCTCTCCGCCTCCTCCGCCTCTCTCCGGCCCCTTTATCCGCCCCCTCCTCTCCGCCGCCCTCTTGATGTTCCCGACCTCTTTTCCTCTTCGCACTCTTTCCGCCCTCCTTCCCTCGTGTTAACGACGCCACATATGTAACAAGTCATCTAAATTACTCTTTGAGGACGAAGCCGGAAGCTATCGCTCCGCCTCGCAGTTAACCTCCCGGCTGAGTACTTAAAGACCAATAGAGAACGTGTTACATAGAATGTTTTTTGTTATTTCTAGTTAGTTAGAAAAGACATTTAACACTTTTATGAGTTAAGAATTGAGATTACTCTCGATGTTCTGTAGCAAGGTTGTTGGTGCAGGGTTTTGATACCGTTTTCAAATAACAATTACAGTGCGTTAAAGGACCAAAGGATAAAGGGGGACAAGTGGAACAAAACGGGGAAAGAATGACGAAGATGGCAAGGGGAGAATATGGGACAAAGGGAACACAATTGGAAAAGAGGAAGAAAAGGTCAAAATGGGGACAAATTAAACAATAGAGACAAAGGGCCAAATGGGACAAAATGGAACAAGGAAAACAAATTGAAGCAAGGGGACAATGGAATAAAATGGGACAAGGGGGAAAATATCACAATTGAACAAAATGAAACAGTGGGACAAATGGAGCAATGGAAAATGGGACCAGGGTCAAAATGAGGCAAGGAGGACAAACGGGACAAGGGGGCGTTAGGGCAAAATGCGACAAAGGGACAAAATGAGCCAAAGGGGCAAACGGAAAAGGGTGGCAAATGGCACAGAGGAACGAAAGGGACAAATGTGACATGGAGACAAAAGGGAGGAAAGGGGACAAAAATGGACAAGGAAACAAATGGGACAAAACAGACATTTATCCAAAGATTTATGAGCACTGGTAAAATACGAACCCAAGAGCCCGCTAAAATATTTAATTGGACTCTCGAGCATATTAGCGGTCGTTGTTATGAATGTGCTGTTAATGCCTTCTATTGGTGGTTGCTTGCTAAGGAGCTATTTACCGACAAAATAACAAAAATATCATTGCAAAATTAATAATTTTATAATAAAATTAATTCATTAAACTATTCGTTAATTCATAAAAATTAAAAAAGCAAAAAAAAGTTTTATTTATTCAGGAAGCAAGGAAAATTATAGTTATCCCTCCGTATATAATTCGGAAAGGTAAGATTGCAATATTTAACTATTTATGTGGAATGTATGATTTTTGTTCGCCATTTGGGACTAAACCCCAGGAATGTGCTACTTTTAGTTAAGCCACTAGTCCCTGGGTTCAACAAACAGATAAAGATGAAAATAGTATTATTTTGTGCTTTACTGCGAAGAACTAGGGGGGTTATGTACAAAAACATGTTCTTTTTTGCATTAGTAACGGTTATGGAAAACGATAGCTCCTCAATACCATAAATATCTCACGCGAAAACTACTCAGATTTTAATTCGTACTGCTCAGAATATGTTGGTAGATGACCTTATTTAAAGATCCAACTATGTTGAACAGACTTAATTTAGAAAAAAACATTTATCTTTACTAAAGTTGAAGTAGAAAGACGCCGAAAAAAATGAACTTTAGTAAATTCAACGAAAACGAGATACGCACCAGTATCAGCGTTTTGTTCTGAGAAAAAAATTATGCAAGAAATTTGGAGCCATTTTTCAGAAAATGTTTAAAATGATTTTAAGGCTGTACATCAAGTCCCCATAAAATTCAAAATATCCGTTTTAAATTGTTTGGGACGTGACATCAACCTGATGGATAGGGGAATGACAATTTTGATGAAAATCCCATTTACGGTTCATTCCTGGCTACCCGGGATGAGCCGTGTCTCGTTCAATTGTGCTGACGTTTCGGCCATCTTGCTTGTGGCTTGGAGGGGACACATGAAGCAAAGAGGACCATTTGGTAAACCCCGTATTTTCTAATGCAATCTGTTCTAAAAGATTGCCTTTAAATAAGGTCTTATATAATTTTATGAAAAACAAGTAGTTTTCACCTAATTTTTACTTTAAGTAAAAAATATTGAAAACGGCTCTATTTCCCCCCTTGGATACAACATTTAAATTTACATCTTAAAATCGCACACGTTTCAATTTTGAAAGTATTCGTAAGTAATATTTTTAGTGAAATGCGCGCAACATTAACTACAAACTTTTCTCCAAAAAATTACAAATATTTTCTTTGAACTTTTAAAAGCACAGTGGTAACGACACAATAATTTGATATTAATGTCATTTTCATGTCTTCTTTTGATTTTTGAAAGATAACACAAATTTTTATGCATCTCTCACGTTGTTAAAAATTACGGATGATTTTTATTCATTAATGCATTTATGAACAGAAACGTTTCATTATTTCTGATACTTTTTGATATCTTAAAACTTTCCTTTGAAAATGGGCTCAAATTTGTGCATTTTCAGAAATGCTCTATCATTTTCTTAAGAACGGCTCCCAATTTAGGTCCAGGTTTTTCTCTTCTCTTTTAGTCACATTTCAAATCTGTTGTTAGGGAATCGAAATATTGAGAAAATGTGAAAGAAAAAAAAACATCGTAGGCGCCGAAAGGTAGCGGGTGGGTGCGCAAAACCGAAAAGCTAACTCAGACTAACTCAGACTTAAGAGATTAACCAGAACTAGAAAATGTATACCATTTTGTAGCATATTTGTTGAAATCTTCGGACTGTACGTCTGTTTTTGTCTCGAGTGTGACGTGATAAAACAATTTTCAATTTTAGCGGCAAATGTTACTAATCCAAAAACATGAAATGAGCTAGCTTCCTTCTTTGTTGAAGATTCTTTAATTCCGTCGAAATCAATGTTTCAAGGATCGCCGCTATTCACTCCACCAACTCTATCTCGGCAATCAAGGTAGAGCATGTCAGACCCACTGAGAGAGGAGGAATGACAGCAGAGAATTTCTCAGACATGGCACATCGAGCGATAAAATCAGACTTCAGAGTTCTCTCTCCAATATTGCCGGTGAGAACGGGATTTGTCTCGCTGACTCAGGATGAGAGCGGGATTTGAAAGAAGGCCTTCACGGAGTTCATCGTTGAGAGAGTTCGTTGGCGACGGAATTCTCATTCTCGTCAGCTGGCAAGGACGGCTCTTCCGAGAAACTCAATGAGTTTGTGACACATGTAACGTCGTCATTTGGCAGCCAGGCTACCGAAAGTGCTAGCGGGCGTTGGTATGCTGGCGGCGAGAGCCAGCTGAGGGGGAGTAGTGACTCCCCAGGAAGCGACGGAGTCCATGTGTTTGCCGGGCGGTCACCCGCACAAGTGAGTGTTTGAAAGTTTCACAAAGGTCTTTTGATTACATTCATGACATCTGAAGATTTGTTTTTATCTAGGAAATGTTCAACGCCAATCGAAAAATAGTTCAGGCATCTTATTCTTCTGGAGCCATTGTTTGTGTGAATGCATCCTCTTTTAAAATCTCTCGAATTTGGGACGATTTCTCCCTTAATTTTTGATGCGTTGATATTGAGAAGTTTTTCACCGAGATAGGCTCCAGAGTTTGCCTTACCTTACCCATCGGCTACACCAAACAATTAATCCAATCTTTATATGAAAAGGAGGAAGAAATATCATGTCCAAACACAAGCGAGCAGAGATGCCAGGAGAAGGACTTCGCGTTGGGATCGCCTCGCGTGCTGTCGCAACTGCTAGCCCGGAAGGCGGACGTGACCCTGCGAGTGCGTTGCGCTGGGCGACCGGAAGCGTCTGGGTGGAGAATGCACTCACCGGGAAATGGGAAGCTCTTTGCTTCCCCTTGCTCTTTGCTGGAATAACGAATTAACGGATGGAAAAAAACAGATTGTAAATAGAGCTCGCGTCCGTGTCTCCATCTCGCTACCACGACGCCACACATAGCACCGCTTGTCACCACGCTTCGCGTCCGGACGTACAGTTAGGTAGGTGACTTGGTTGAACTCGCTCATTGAGTTCAGCGAAGACTGAAAAACGCCATAAATCATGATCCTATTGCCGATATCTTCGGGGGGGGGGGCAGACACAGGACGATAGCTCATATTAGCTCAAGAAGGAAAAGTTATATCAGAATCACTGCTAGCAACTAGGTTTACTGGTTACGAGAATATCGAGTTGTCTCTTTCTTGAAAACGTTTTCGATCTAACATATTGTGTAGCAAAGACTCGTACAACCCTTCTCATGAGAACGAAAAATAATGTGTGGTATTTGATAGAATTTTCACTATTATTCCTTACCTCACTGTTTCCTGTCTTCTCTATTTCTTCGGGTTTCCTTTGCGGTTTTATATAATTTGCAGGGGCTCTCTCGTTGCGGTGGCCCCGGAGTGCCCGTTCTGTGTTTAATTCACGACGGCTTTTTTAAAAAAAGCAATGCAACAAACAATGAAACTGACACCACGTATTAAGTAGTATGTTCATTAAGCCATAATCATTCTGTATCAAGAGACACAATCATTGTTTTTATCACATTTTGCTCATCTGCTCTTTGAAAAATGAGAAATTTAATGTGCAAACAAATTCACTCAATAATTACCCCTTTATGCACGCCACCTCCCTTGCACGCAACCTGGTTAATTGATTTTCAGGCTCATTCTCACATGCTCACTTGTGTTTGCGAGTTGGTTATGTTTTATCGATATTTACATCAGTAGAGCTTTTTATTTGGATGACTATTGAGCAAGGGTTACTTTCATGTTCATATGCAGTACACTGAGAAAATATTAAAAATTAGTCAAACAACAGAGTTGAAATTGTTTGCTTCATTACATGTTTTAAGGAACGCTGAGAATGGAAAATACGTTTTTAGTCTGTGACCAATTCTCTATCAGCATGCACCGAATATTCCCAAACAGTAAGGATTTTTCATGCGTATTTTACCTCATGTGGGTTTTGCTCGTGGCTCTGAGATAATTAGTACGAATTTTCAATTATCAGATTCCTTATACTTTAGTCGGAGTTTAAGGGGACACGGAACAATTTCCAGTCCAAAAATAGTTTTGGGGTATTTTATTTCTTATACATTTTCATTTTTTCCTTTAAATTGACACTGAATTATATTGATGATACTGTTGCAAGAATTTATTATTATTATTATTATTATTATTATTATTATTATTATTATATAATAATAATAATAATAATAATAATAATAATAAAGGTCTCTTCCATTTAATGAAACATTTTTTCTGATTACAATAGTATTATCCATTTTGAAAACTTTATTTACTAGAAAACGCTGTAAAAACATTTCAGAAAATATTTTTATCTCAAAAATAGTAAAAATGTTTCAAAACCCTTAATTCTGTGTTATTGTGAGTGATGTATGTGTACATGAGCTCACAAACATTCATGAGCTTAAGTTTAGATTATGAGAATTAGACTCAAATATTTAACGTTGCCAGGATAAGGCCCTCCGTGACCCCTATGTTGAAAAATTCAGATACTTCAAATGCAACAGTAACAGAAACTTTGCACATTATTTTAACATCACTAGTTTCTTTACTCAATTGCATTACTTTTGCATTTACGAATGTTTAACCACAAGTATTAAATTTATTGAAATTCCTGAATATCACCCTTCTTTAAATAATTGTGCAAACAAAATACCCTGCTCGACCTTCTTCATATCCAATACTTGTGAAAGAGGAAGAAGTTCAATTTTATCCTCCCGTTGCATCGTTCTTCAGTGCCACACATAAGAAGCGGTCAGATTTTCGATTTATCTTTGCCTGAAGCCCATGTTACGGCTTACATCGATGTATATCGGTGAGCGAGCGATATTTTGGTGACACCAATGAAGTGTTCTACTAGATACAATTCTCCGTTCCTGCTACAAGTCCCAGCCACTCCTTAGCAAACCCGGAAATTCAACCACAGATACGATAAACCGTTATGATGAACATGAGTAAACTTCTGTGTTTCCTCCATCTTGTATTCTTATTAACGTTCTGTAGCATACAGACGAGATTCCTTCTCAACACGTTTTCGTGATCATTCCGCCTTCGATTTTTTTTTTCTTTTTTTTTCTTCAAATTCTAGGTCATTTCACAACTTTTAGCTCGATCTTATTTCAGACAAGTTTATACAACTATCTTATTTCTTGATTCATGTCTTTGTTTAATCAATAACGGTTTTCACATTAATTCGCTTTTAAAAGATCTTTATACTTATTTGTTTACAAATAGCATGGCTTTTAAACAGTGGATTGCGACCCGAAAAGGCGACAGGAAATTAAAAATGGATTCTTCAAAACTTATCTCGCATGAAAAAATGCGTATTAAGAGTAATTATGATGTATATAGTTTGAAATTCTTTAAATATACAAGTGCCATTTTCAGAAGGTAAGTGTAGGTAGAAGTAACTTATTTTTATTCAAGAATGACTTCCTTTACATTTCAATTCGTTAGAGATCGAGTTTTCGCCTGCAGACAAGGGTCGCTGTCCGCAGAATATACAAAGCACTGCATTTCAGCAATGACGAGCGGGGCCTTGATGTGGTGAGTGACGTGCGAGTGGCGCTGTTGGCGTGCGCAGCTACCAGAGCCGCGGCGCTGACGCGGCCATCAACCGGCGCTACTCGGACTTCGTGTCGGCGGCGGGGCTGGCGCCGGCGGCGGGGCCGTCGCAGCGGCGGCGCGCCTCCGAAGCAGCCCGTCGCGGCGCGGCCCTCGGCCAGCCAGGGCGCGGCCGGGGCGCCACCGCATCGTCCACCAAACTCCGACCTCATTACCATCCTGTCGTCGCTTCGCCTCGTCCGCGCAGGAGATCAACCGCGACCCGACGAGGAGGCGGATGGAGGAGCGCGGCGGCTGCGCGCGCGCAGGCGGAGTCGCCGCAGAAGAAGAAGGCCCCGCCCGTGTCCGCCGTCGCTCGGGGGCGGGGGCGCGGCGGAACGCCAGGGGCGGTCCCGCGGGCGCGAGGCGGGCCACCCGCCACGCAGACCAGAAGCGCCAAAGCGCCTCCAAGATCTGCGCTCCAACAGCTTCGGACGTGTCCATGCTCTGGCACCGCGCGCAAGGAGAAGCAGCGGCGCAGCACGGCGCACAGCCGCAGGCGGCTCCGTGGGGCCCGCCAGGCTGGTTCATTCAAGCCACCAGCCCAAGCGCGCGGCGAGCCTGGGGCGGCGGCCGGCGGTCCGGCGAGCGCCGGCGCGGCCGGGAGCGGGGGGCGGGCGCGAGCAAGGGCCTCCCGTCGTCGTCACTTATCGGCGACGAGAAGGCCACGTGAGACAACGGCCGGGGCCGAGTGCCGGGGGCCCTGGAGGCGGGGGGCGAGCGCGGGCGGGGTGGCGGAGCGGGCAGCGGCGCGCGTGGGGTTGCCCGTGACAACAGTGGTGGTTGGGACGGCGCAGCGGGTCCTGTAGTAGACCGCAGTGCTGGGCAGCGCCATCGAGACTTGCCTGGCCGCGGCGCGGCCAGCGTGCACGACCAGCCTCGGGCCCGCCCTCGCGCCGCCCTGCAGCAGGGCGCGGCCGCGGCCCCCGCACCTCCGCACCGGCTCTGCCGCAGCGCCCGCCACCGCGGCCGCCAAGCGTCGCGCGCCAAGCGCGGCCCGCCTCAGCCCCGTGCCGCTGCCGCGAACGGCCGCGGGCGCTCGTGGTCTTCTCCGCCGTCGCCGGCAAGGAGGACGAGGGAGCTGCCGCTTCCGACACGGGCGACACTCCATCTGCTCCACGCTAAAGATCTCTTCGTGAAGTAACGCGGCGGGGGCGGTGGCGGTGGCGAGGGAGGATGCAGCGGGGAGGCGGCTCCGGCGGCGGCCGACGGCACCGCCCCCGCCGCGCGGACGCAACAGCGCCGGCAGCAATAGAGACGGGAGGGCAAAGCGCCTTCTGCGGAGCGCGCGGCAACATTTCCTCCGGGCCCAGAGGGCGCAGCGCGGGAGGGGGGGGGAGCACGCCGGGCTAGGAGCCCGAGACGGGCATGGCATTCACGAGACCATGGCGAAATCGCCAGTGGCGCACAATGCAGCTAGACGAAAAGCCCACCTACGCCACTGCTCATCTCAATCAAAAGACGTACGCCGATGTTTGAGGGGACATCGTTAGCCACTCTGAGGAACCAAATGTAACATTCCGCGGTTTTTAACCTTTTAAGGAATTTCTTTCTAATAATTGCCAACTAGTGTTAGACCTCTTCAAGCGCATTCCTTGCTTCGGGTCCTGAAAGTTAAAACATATATGCTATTCAATAGATGATTCAATGTTGATCCATGTCACTTATGGAAAGGGGTAAATTATCCGGACTCTTTGTCTCCTCTAAAATTTAGATATATTCATCGGTAAAAATGTAGTTACTGGGAGTGGGGACGAGTTATGGGCTGTTCGAAGTGTAATGGTTGAGCGCCATTGACGTTTCAGATGTAAATGTGAATTCCATGTGAGAGATCCACCCGCGCTTAATCCAACAAGTGCATAGAATCGCAGGGCATACAACCAACGCTCTGCATTCGACTCCTAATTCGACGCCAAATTAACTTTATAAATTCTAAAGTTTCACTCTTAGTGAGTTTGCCGTTTTAAAATAGCTCAGGAAATAAAATCTCTAAAGGAAAGAAATTTACGAGGAAATGTTGCAATATCCACCACTCTCGGAAAGAGAATCCATTTGGTTCTTTTTTATTGGGGCTCACGTAAAATGTTGCGTATTTCACTATCTTGATTCACTCAGCAATTCCTTATAGTATATTTGTGATGCAAATAAATTTGAAGAATGTACTTTCCAAGAGTTGGTGGATGTGTCGATATAATTATAAACGTTGATGCAGAAATAATTGTTTCCTAAAAGTGATATAAATATTTAGACATTAGTTTTTGTCACTTGTACATAATACAAAGATGTTATCATTGTAAATGTATATTTATGTTACAAATGTGGTTCACCCCCTCGTTGTTCCTGTTTGTGAAGGCATGTGAAGTGCTGCTTGTCCGCCCTACGTGACGTGCTATTTGTAAGAGACGGGAAGCAAGGCCTTAGTAATTAAAAGGTTCCCGGTGAATCGATGTGATTGTTTTGTTAGATCCTGGCTCGTTGGTCTTTGCTTTTCTTGTATTGTAGCACTAAGCAGGTTTTTCATAGCCAAAAACTATTTCATGAGAAATATGTCATACAATGCTTTTTCTGGTTGGTTTGTTTGTTGTTGGTTTTGTCGGAGAAAAAATTGTGAGGAAATGCTCCTAAAAATCACACCACTGATCTTACTGACCTGCGTTCTGAAAATTCAATAACGATGGTTCTTCAATTTCCGTGAATTTAGTTGTCTTCTTTTCGCACTCATTTATTGATATTTACTTTACGTTAAAATAGCACGAGTAAATAGTTTGACATAATTATTTAATTTTGTTATTATTGTATGTTTTGTGTACTATTCCGTTATGTGTTGTCGAGATGGGGACTTCTGCCAACAATATTCGGTCTCATTTTAGATCGACCGACTGACTGTTTTCAGGGCATCAAGAAATTTCAAAGAAAAAGACAAGCTTGATACATGTTAAATTAAATCCTGCTTCAATCGATTTTAATCGAGGTTGAGTAAAACGCGCTGGACGCGTTTTGATACATGGCTCGTAAGGGACGAGGTAAGCTGCAACTTGAATATTTTCAGAGGGTAACCTGGGTCTTGAAACCAGCGTCAATGGTGTTTGTAGAGGTTTAACTATTTCCCCCATGTGCCATCATATCTTGTTTCCGCTTTTATTCCTAGGGATATAGCCTCAAATAGATCGCTCTTTGAATCAAATACGAAAATGAATGTTTATTTTTGATGTTATATTACAAATACTGACGTTTTAAAATTCAATGATATCCCTTTAGTTATAAATGGTTAAGAAAAATCACTATCGACACTTTTATATCACTACTACTTTAGTACTTATTCGGTATTTGTATATTGGTATAAAACACCGACATGTACAAATACAGTATCTTGTCATTTTGTGCGACCAGTTGATATTTACATACATCCTTTTCCTATAAGCGGCGATTACTGCCTAAGATGAGATGACAAAAACTTGCTGCTTCAGTCTTCCAAAACTGTTTCGGAGGAACATCGCCAAGAGAAATTAAAGTGATATTAATAGAAAAGTGTCGTTAATTAGTAAATGTTCACTTCAGTAGAATCAAATGATCGAATCCTTTTATTTAGAATAATATTGAGTAACAACTACGTCGAGATAAGTTTCAATGAAAACAAATTTTCGTCTTCCAAATAAAGCAGTTTTTTATAAACGAAAGGTTTTTGAAGGTTCCTCTTCAAAGGAAGATACAGTGTAAATTTCTATTAGATATAATTACTTTTATTGTAAATTATTTTTATTACTCATTACTCTTGGTACTTAAAAGATAATGTACTATTATTAACGAAATACCCTTCGTGCAGTGGAGAAAACAGTAATATTTTCAACCACAGTAGTTTTGAGACGGAAGCAGCAACGGAGTCACTGGAACCAAAGAGAACAATGCCGGAGTGCACCATCTGAGTATGCGGCTTTCACAATATCGTCTAATTAGTCGGAAATTTGTAAATTCTCTAAATATGAGCGCTATTTCCTTTTGGAGTTTGGAGCAGGAAGGAACATCCACTTGTCACGGTATCTATGGCAAATAAATTATATTATTATAGTGATGGTTTCACTGTAAAAGGAGATAACTTACGTAGTCATATTTTCTAAAGATTTTTAATACATTTTCCATCTGTTTAACTGACGAGATCTTGAGTCGAAAAAGCACAGAATTCATGCTCCATTTCTTGTGTACTTATTTCACGAAGAGTGTCTTGTAAGAGCGCACAAATCAATAGAAGTATCGTATTTTTAACAAAATAAAAGATAGTTTCCACGTGATATTTAAAAGGTATTGCTCTTGGAGTTACTATAAGAAAACTGATTTAATTTACAGCTATAAAAAATAGTTTGAACAATATATCATTCATTTCAATAAGAAAATTAGTAATCAAATACAGATAAAAAAGATTTGGATCCCGAAAAGCAAATACGATTTCAAAAAGCATGTATACAGTTCAAATATACAGTGTTAATTATTGTCGTATATATTAAAACATTGAACTTCGTAACAGTAGTACGTCCACAGAGCTCGTCTTAATTTAATGTATCCTCATAAAGAAGTGTGACGAATGAGAGAGAAGTAGTTTGTGTCAGCCGTATCTGAGAAGTAATCCATCATAATTTGCTAATTGAAATGAATATTTTTTATTTTACCAATATTTAAATATATAATACTCCGATCACAGTTATTCCATTCATATTTTTGTTTCAAAAACAGCATTTCTGATATCTTAATATCGTAATCCCAGTTTTCTATAGGCGGCGATGGTGTAACGGTTAGCGTATCGGACTGTTATACCCAAGTTCGTGGGTTCGAAGCCGTGGATTTTTAGGGCAAAAAACTCCTTCGTACGTCTTCATTCAGAGGAAAATAGGTCCGGCTGTTCCATGTTAGTAGATTTACTGCATGTGAAAGATCCTCAAGCCTAAATGAAGCCTCTGAGCTAAATTCAAATCACTTGTTTCGTCGCCCAAGAAATACCTCCTTTCCCCACTACTTGGTGAAAGAAGCGTAGAGAAATGTGTGTATAATAAGACAAAAATTCAATTCAATTCTCGCCACGTAAAATAAGGCAAAAATTCATGCTCATCATGCAAAGAAAAGAAGGAAAATAATATCTCAACTGTTCTCCAAATAGAGATTAATGTTATCATTTGAAGAAACAAATATGGGTTTGCAGAACTGGAATGGCTGTATGCTTCAATTCCAAAGGCGTGCAAAGGTTAAAAATTTATCGAGGCAAATATCAAAGATACTTTGGTGTTCCTTAAATAAGGGAATTGATGAGAGATATTTTCGTCGACTGAATTCGAAACAAGTTCAAGGGGAGAAGAAAAATGAAATTGGAATGCCTTAAAGATGTCACAAAAAAACAAATTGTTAGGGAACAGAATATCTAATGAATTGACAGATTGTGATGACCAGGCAAGAATCATGATGGCCTATCATGGAATTAGATGTATGTTTTTGAAGCGAATCATCAGGGGAAGCACCAGCATTATCATACGCAAGAAAGTGTAAACGTCCTTGCAGTAGGGCACGAAAAATTTAATAGATAGCCCTGACTACTTTAATATCATCATGATTTACTTATGGTTATACTCTATTATAAATGTGTTGAAATCAAATGATTTATCAAAAATTGAAGGTGATAAAAAATCTAAAACAAATATCTGGGTTCAACACCCCGTTTTCTGTTAGAACAGCAATTTTCATTTTGGAACTAGAACAAATATTGAAAATTGTGATTCAGTGACGTTCAT